ATAGCAATGCAAAAGCCTCGGGGTGGATGGTTTTAGTGTTCTGGGAATAGCAAGAAGATCTCTAGGATTGGAGTGTAATTTGCAAGGAAGAAGTTATAGAAAATGAGACTGGAACAGTAACAGGGGCCTGGTTTGACAAGGCCTTGTGGCATGATAATGGAATGGTGTTGGAAGCCATTGGGAGAATGACATGATCTGATTTATGTTTTAAAATTTTTTAAATGTTTGTTTATTTTTTGGGAGAGAGAGAGAGAGAGCAAGTGAGGGAGAGGCAGAGAGAGAGAGGGAGACACAGAATCCACAGCAGGTTCCAGGCTCCCAAGCTGTCAGCACAGAGCCCGATGTGGGGCTTGAACCCATGAGCTGTGAGATCATGACCTGAGCTGAAGTCAGATGCTCAGCCAACGAAGCCACCCAGGAGCCCCCTGATTTATGTTTTAAAAGCATCACTGTAACTGCTTTGGTCCAAAATGGAAATCAGGAGACTGGTTATCACAGTAGTTCAGCAAGGAGATAAAGGTTGCTTGTGCAGTAGCAGTGTAAATGTCAAGAAGAGATATTTGAAAGGAAGGACCAGCAGGCTCTTCTGATGGATTGGATGTGGGGCATGAGAAGAAGGTGACATGTTCTGGTGCCATCTGCTGAGAGAGCAAATGCTGGGAGAGGAGTGGGTTCTAGTGGGGACTAGTTGGCTTTCTCATTTCAGGTGCCAACAAATATCCAAAGGAAGGTGTCAGGTAGGCAGTTGGATAGGAGTCTGGCATTCAGGGGAAAGGTCGAGGCTAGGCATTTAATTTCGGGAGTTAATAGCATATAGAGAAGTTTAAAGCCATGAGACTGGATGAAATCACCTGGGGAGTGAGTGTAAATGGATCCTGTCCCTAGTGTTGTTTAACGTGCTCCTCTGATCCCTGTTTCAGGTCAGATTTGGGGGAAATTCAAGGTCAGTTTGGGGGAAAAATACTTTATGGATAATGGTATGTATTTACAATTATAATCCATCAGGAAGCACTATGGTTCTTTCTCTTTTTAAGATATTTATATTGATTAGTCAGTACAGGTATTGCTACTCTGATTCATTTATTATAAAACTCCATCCCCATCAGGTTATGACTTAATTGGTTTCAGCAACCATTGATAATCATTTCCTAAATCCATTATTTCAATAGGGATGGCAAAATGTGATATTGAACGTCTTTCCTTCCTTCTTAACTAGCTGAAACTCTTCAGTCAAGAAGAACTTTACTTCATCAATTATTTGGTTAACCTGAGGTAGGTTGTACAGGAAAGGGGATAAATGCTTAAGGTTGACCAGTGAGAGCTTTTTCATGGTGATTCCTGAGTTTTTTAGATAAGATCCTAGTAGCCTTTGATAGCTTCCTTATTTTCCTGGTATGACAAGATGTTCCAGGTTCATCTTATCTATTTTCTGCTCCAGACTTGAATTAGCCATTTCTCTAAGGGTCCTTCAACCCTCACTCTTAACCAGTGTGTGATATGGAGTAGTTTTAGAGTGTCTTTTTTATCCTGTGGTCTTATGATGATCTTTAAAAAAAAAAATTTTTTTTTTAATGTTTATTCATTTTTGAGAGATGGAGAAAGACAGAGCATGAGTGGGGGAGGGGCAGAGAGAGAGGGAGACACAGAATCCGAAGCAGGCTCCAGGCTTTGAGCTGTCAGCACAGAGCCCAAGCCGGGGCTCAAACCCATGGACTGGGGGGTCATGACCTGAGCTGAAGTTGACGTTTAACTGCCTGAGCCACCCAGGCGCCCCAATCTTTTACATTTTTAAAGAATGTATTTCTGTTCTTTCATGTGCTGGTATAACAAAATAGAATACAAATACTTCTAAATACAGGGTATTAATTTATATTTTTACTACATATTTTCGAATGACTTGATTCATGAAGTCCTGCCTCTGTACAACATTTTTGATACAGTAATTCAAAAGTAAATTTAGTGCCTAAAATACTAATTCTTAAATGTAGCTAATCTAAACCATGGAGATTGTTATAAAGTCAGAACCAGGCTCTGGTTTTAAAATGTGCTATACAATCAGGCTTGGCATACTGTGGTTATTGCTTTCCCCTGATCTCCTCTTCGCATTGACTTTTATTTGAACCTTTTACTTTTGAGCCAAAGCATAATCCTTTCTTTTTCTTATGGATCATTAGTTTTATTTATTTTTTAATATGAAATTTATTGTCAGATTGGTTTCCATACAACACCCAGTACTCATCCCAACAGGTGCCCTCCTCAATACCCATCTCCCACCCCCCATCAACCCTTAGTTTGTTCTCAGTTTTTAAGAGTCGACCCTATGACCCAGCAATAGCACTGCTAGGAAACCCAAGGGATACAGGAGTGCTGATGCATAGGGGCACCTGTACTCCAATGTTTATAGCAGCACTCTCAACAATAGCCAAATTATGGAAAGAGCCTAAATGTCCATCAACTGACGAATGGATAAAGAAATTGTGGTTCATATACACAATGGAATACTACGTGGCAATGAGAAAGAATGAAATATGGCCTTTTGTAGCAATGTGGATGGAACTGGAGAGTGTAATGCTAAGTGAAATAAGCCATACAGAGAAAGACACATATCATATGTTTTCACTCTTATGTGGATCCTGAGAAACTTAACAGAAGACCATGGGGGAGGGGAAGGAGAAAAAAAAAAAGGGAGGGAGCCAAACCATAAAAGCATAATTCTTAATAGCAGAATCATGGCAATTACAGAATTGTTATGTTTTGCGCGCGCGTGCGCGCGCGCACACACACACACACACACACACACACATGCATATGGAAAAAGACTACTTTTCGTTGTAGGATAGTTAAGCATTCAAATTTGATAATGTCAGAATTCTGATTCCCCTTGTAAGATTTTCTTCATGGCCTGTGGGAACCAAATCCTTTGTGAAACCATTAGTGGCAGAAATAAATACATAATGGAAACCAAAAGCACAGACTCTTAGCTTAACATCTTTCCAGAAGACTGTATGCTACCAGCGAGTCTAACTAGCACACCAGTCATTCTCTCTCTCTGAGAGAAATTATGTGTGGGAATGGTGCAGAAAAAACAATAGATCAGTGATACTGTTGTAGCCACCATGCTTTAGACACAGAGTGTGCGCACATACCTCCTGCCTGTGCTTTGGGCTGTTCTGACAATGCTCAAGGGTGTAAATTCTTTGAGGATGGTCAGGGGCAGATATTCCCGTTACTGAATTTGCCAGACACAGATGTCAAGTTCTTTTTCTTCTCTAACTTGTCAGCAAATTCTGTTTTTTGAATGATCTACGTTGGGTCAGGTGTGAAAACCGGACTTATGTGATAAGCGGAGTTGGGTTTATGATTGTATATTAATTTAAAGACCCAACTATGGCTTTACTCTTATGTTCTCATGCAGTAAGAGGCCTAAGGGGATCTTTTTAGAGATTTCTGGCCTAACCAGCTGATTTTTTTTCTTTTACTATCAAAGAAAAGGAACCTTCAAACTTCTCATAATGAAATAATGAACAAATGGATGAATGAAAGAATGAACAAATGATTGAATGAATCTGACAACAGTCAAAACATGGCAAGAGTTGAAAGAAAATTTCATTAAATATATTCAGAAATTGGGAATCAAGAAAATGCTATTAAAGGGCACAATTTTACTCTGGAAAATTATTGCTTACATGTTTTTCTGTTACCGCATTTTCTTGAAGTCACTTTTTTAAAAACTTGCGAATATATTCTTAGAATCTTTATTCTGATTGTGAATACCTTTGTAGTATTTTACTTTGATTTTCTGGCTGAATATAATATTCATTGTCTGGGGATGGTTATGTTGTTAATTGGAATCTGTGACATGAAAATGTTTTGGGAAAGATTTAATAGCTTTCTCTGCCTTGTGTGAAACAAAGACCCCTTATTAATATGATCTTTGTGTGGTCTAATTCAGATGTTAATCTGGCTTGTTGAAGGCAGGCATCTAACTTGAAACTTTAAACTTAGAAAAATATTAGACCTCTCAAATATAAACACATTGAGAAACTGCTACAGAAATCCATAGAAATCAAATGCCATAGAAATCAAAGTATTGACATATGACTGTTATGTGACAAATTCATTAAGTGGATTAGTATCTGGACTCTTCTTCTGTTTGCTTTACTCCTTTTCTTTTTTTTGAAAATATTGTCATATAATGCTTCCTTAGTTCTATAAATATCCATCAGTTGTGTGCTTTGTATACTGATTTCAAGCCTCAAAATGGAGAATTAAGAGTTTACATTTTTGGGGCGCCTGGGTGGCGCAGTCGGTTAAGCGTCCGACTTCAGCCAGGTCACGATCTCGCGGTCCGTGAGTTCGAGCCCCGCGTCGGGCTCTGGGCTGATGGCTCAGAGCCTGGAGCCTGTTTCCGATTCTGTGTCTCCTTCTCTCTCTGCCCCTCCCCTGTTCATGCTCTGTCTCTCTCTGTCCCAAAAATAAATAAACGTTGAAAAAAAAAAAAAAAGAGTTTACATTTTTTATGAGAACATTTATAAACTCTTATTTACAGTTAATTTTGTTTTTTTCCATTTCACCTTATATTCTTGTGGCTTCATTTGGGAGCGCAGTAACATACTATGTTGAGTTCTTTTATCACCTCTGAAGATACTCATTGATCCCTTGTGATGAACCCTTGTGAAGCAGCATAGTCCTTGTGGTATTCAGGGCCTCTGATGAGGGGATGAAAATGTACATCAGAAAAATGAGTAGATATGACATTAATCTTGGGCACCTTGAGGAGCTGAGTGCCACCCTGGCATTGCTGAATTGATCATTTCCATAAGGTGGTCCGTGTACCTGGAAAATAAATATTTTTTTTCAGGCTACATGGCGAGTGTCCATTGCTTTGAGCTTCTGAATGTGCAGTTTTTTTCCTTCAGAAAGGAAAATGAAAAAAGCTAAATCTGTTATTTCCTCTTCTTCCCTCCAGTGATTTAGCAGAACTTTTCTATTTTCTTCAGGTAATTAAACCAGAGAGCAATGACAAAGAAACAGAAGGTACCGATGAATTAGATCTCCCTGAAGAGCTCTGTGGAAGCCATCTCCCGCAGCAGTCCGTGAAAGGCTATAATGACAGTCCTGATGTCATTATAGAGGCTCAGTTTGATGACAGCGACTCAGAAGATGGACATGGCAACACACAGAATGTTCTGGTTGATGGTGTTCAGAAACTCTCAGTTTGTGTTCATGACAAAGGTGAGTACTGGATTGCTGCCTGACATTTTATTTTACACTAACCTGACTGTTTTCAGTTTTGGGAGTCTCTCTGTGCTACAGACCTAATCACATGGTACATTTGGGACCTTCCCAATTTCTAACCAGCTTCTGGCTGCTGGTTCCTGTGGTTAGTGGTTGCTGTTGTCCTTTCCTAATGGGTCTTGGGTTGTATTGATAGCCAACCTTGACATTTCCTGCGATGTGCCCAGTCCACCCCTGTGGCTCATATGAACAGAATTAAACTGATCTTTCAAATCCAAAAAAGCACTTCATTTTGCCCTTCATTTTGCTTTAACTCAGTATCTTTTTGTCATTGGTGGTGGGACCGGATCACCTTAAATTTGATAAGTAGATTATCTTTTCAAAGTGTTTTGATTCTAAACCTTGAAAAAACCCAGTCTTATTGTCTCTAATCAAAATCTAAGCCATGTGTCCTCCGGATGCAGAAGAAAGCAGTTGCAAACACATTGGGGGAGAGCCATGACCAAGGGCCTAGCTGACTCTAGGAGACTAAAGGGAAAGTAGCCCCCCCAAATTGGAATATTTTACTGGATAGATGTCTAAGACATTAAATACAGGGAGTATATTTTCCAGCCAAATTGAGTTCTATCTGTACTATGAAATGGAAACGATTGACCTGGCTAGGCCAACTAGATTATGAGGTTGGTTTTGTTTTGTTTTGTTTTGTTTTTTTCATCAGGAAGAGGTTTCTGGCACAGTCCCCTTGAAAGGCTAGAAGAAATGCCAGAAGATTACTAAAAGAGGATGTTTTATGGACACCTTGTGATAGGGACTGGTGAGCATATCTCACTGACATCCTGAAGTAAGCTGGAGGTGATTTCAGGAAGTGACCGCATAAGGATCACCCTGTCTCTTCACTGCTGATGAGGTAGTGACATGGGGTGGTGAGCATTTTCTGAAAACATGCCTAGCTTTTTGGTGCCAGGTGCTGTTCATTCAGAAGGACTTTCCAACTGTGAAATTCCTTTTGGATGAAGAGACTACTGCAGTGGCCCACCAGGTACACTGACCTGAGGCACCCAGGTTCCTTTTGTTTGGTGGCTTGCTTAGTTAACTAGTGATTTACTGTTCAAGACCCAGCCAATTTCGGTTGGATGTTGTTCCTCGCGATTTCATTCTTCTGGTGTTTTTTCTTTCTTCCTTTAAAACTGGTTGGATACCGTGACCCTCTTCTGAGAGTGCATTTATACAGTAACGACGTCAGTACTGTGAGTCATGTCCTCTCTATGAGAAGAGAGGGAAATAACCAGGACTCCAGATAGCTAAATTCTCCGTCAACAAGATCGCCAAGGGAGAGAGATACTTGCAGGACAAGGCCAGGCAAAGGAGCACTTGAAAACTTATTTAGTATTTGGTCCAAACCTAGCTCTGGTGATTGGACTTGGCAGACCTCAGGAGCCTCTTTTCCCCTGGGCTCCAAGTTGAAGGGAGAAGATGCCTTGATTTCTTATTAGTGGTTTGTACCAATACAAAGGCAAGGAAGTGTTGGTGGATGGGAGTGATGACAGAGTTGATGTCAGGGTGGATGCTAATAACCTACTTTGCCCTTTGTTTGGGAAATTCTAATGCCAGACTTGTTCTTGATTTGTCCTCTGTTGTAATTCCTCTCCTTCTCTCTTATAGGTAAATATCACTGAACCCTTTACATGTCTACTGTATGCATGTTTTTTCCTTACTCTTTTTATGGTTTTCGTACCTTACTGTTGTTTATATTGCTTCCTTACTAGGCCTGACTGAGGGAATGGCCTTAATCCTTCCCGCAGTATGTGGTACAAATTTTTCTTTCCTGCTAGCCTCTAAATAGAGAGTTTGTGAAACCACATGGCTGTTTCTCATTTCTTGCCCTCTTGATATTTAGGAAAATGGCAATTTGCTCTTTTAAAAATCACGGTGTTTTTTAGGATATTTCAACCAGCTTCTCTTCTCTGGATAACATAAAATCTGGTTACAGTTAGGATGTTAGTACTTTTTGCACCATTTAAGGTTTTGAAATTTGTTATTGAAACAAACCATAACCTTAAGAACATCATAAACTTTTCCTAAGACTTCTAGAAAGGTTCTTTGCTTTGTGCGTAATTGCAAATGGTTATTAATCTTAGCTCACACTTGTGTTCCAAAGAGCGTTTTTTATTTGTTTATTTTGTTTTAATCTCACGTTTCTTTTATCTAAAACAGACGTTACCTGTTGCATGTGTCCACAATGTATAACCCTGTGTGCCCAGGAAACATTCCTGTCTTTGCTGTAACTACCAGTTTCTCTGGTAAGTGCGCAGAGAGCCCAAGGGTCTGCCACAAAAGTCTATTGTTGCGTGAAGAAAAAAGTTTCTCTGGGCACCTCAGACCTGACCAGTAGTTTCTTCTAGGAAGACAGCATGGATAGGCATCACCCTCAGCCCCTGAGACAGAGTGGGCCAATGAGCTGGGCCCCTTTCGTAGGTCCAGCCCCACAGGCTCCCAAGGCTCAGCTTTTGGCACTTTCCAGACAGCAGCTTTGTTGTCGGCACAGAAATCTGCCATCTGGGTAGAGACTGGGGACAACCCAAATAAATTTTCCTTGTTATCAGATATTTGGGTAATGGTTGCCTGGTTAGCAAACTCCAAAGGATAAAAATCATGATGGCCAAGTGATACCATAGCTCTGCATCTTTCATCCTCAGGAATTTGAAGAGCAGTTTTGGCCTTTGAATCTTCGTGCTCACAACCTCATCAGGTTTGATGTACATTTCCTGTCCTCTGTCCTTGCTGGGTCTGCCCGAGATCTTGTTCGGTTTTCTGGTCTGGAGACAAGCCTCTACCAGTACCCTGATGACTGAACATGGGCTTGAATGTAGAGCCAGTGACCCTTTCACTTGTCTTCTATCTCCTGGCCACCTCCAGCTCTTTTCTGGAGGAAGAATCTGCATGGAATCCTTGATCCCTTTTGAGAGTTGAATCTTACTACTCCTTCCGGGGCCTGCCCCAGTTGGCTTCGGGAGCAGGATGAGACCTTTTTTCTCACTTAAGGTTCGTCTCCTTCCAATGACACGCCCGTTCAGTGCCTCTGTTTAAGTCCCATTCCCTTGGATGAAAAGTGACTGTATTTCCCGTTGGGTAAGAAAAGAGGACCCGTATGATTATTCTCTTGTGGTACTTCTGGGTTGTTTAAATACCAAGAACCCATTCTTCGAATCCATTCTTTGTTAGAGCTAAATTTCTTCTGTTTCCAGGTTCTGAGATCACATTTTCCCTAAATGGTAATTAGTGCAACTAGAAGGCAGTCAGGTTTAGTTCAGAAATTATATCAAAAATTAAATATACTTTCCCGTCAACCACAATTTGGGACAATGTTTTGAAATCTCATTTTAAAAAAGGTAAAGCCATATCCAGACCTGTGTTAGAAGGGTACAGTGGAATTTTGGCTTCTCTGTCTTTTAGACTCAGTGGGCAATGCAGTCCTATCAGGTGCGATTCAGGTAGAGGCATTTGGTCAGGACCTAGAATGTCTAAGGCCCAAATCCTGTGCTAGACTAGCCATTCCTCCCTGTGAAGTCCCCAAAAGAAATATATGCACAAAGGATATCTATTCTGCAAGGCAGAGAAGCAGTTCTTTATTAATTGAGGCTTTGACCTAAGCCAGAATGGTTCCGGCAGTCTACACCTCCACCAGCAGTGCCTGAGACTTCTTACATCATCTCATTCCTGCCAACAGCCAGAATTATCCAGCTTTCTAGTTTTTGTAATCTAGATTACGTTCTGCAGATTGCCCTTCTATATCATTTGCCTATTGTTCTATCAGGGTTACTGTTCTCTTGTTGATTTGTAGGAATTTCTGACCTATTCTCTATAATAATCACATTTCCATTTTTGGCATTACAAATATCTCCTGCCATTCTGTCATTTAGTCATTTCTCCACTAACCTTGTGATGTCTTTTATTGAACAAAACCCTTAATTTTAATGTGATAGAATTAATTGTGTACTTTATGGGTTTTTAAGTTTTTCCCTATTCTTAGTTCAAACAGATGTTCTCCAGTATAATCTTTTTTTAACTCCATAGTTTTGCCATTTGTTTAACTTTATAATGTGGATTCTTTATTTATGGAGATTATTACCTGGTTTCTTTCTAAATCTATTTCAGATATTGAACCATCTTAGGAATTCAAAGATGTCCTTGAATTCTTGGATAAATTCTATTCAGTCCCAATGTATTATTACTTTTTAAATACACTGTGGGATTTACTTAGGTAATATTTAGGGCAGAATTTTTCTGTCATGTTAAATAGACCTATCATTTTGTTGTCATTATCTGATTTTTAGAATCAAGAGTATATTAGCTTCATGAAATGTTCTGGTCAGTTTTTGGTTTTCTTATTTTTCCAAAACAGGTTGTGTAGGATAGGAATTCCTTAAAATTTGGTAGAACTTATTGTAAAATTGTTTGCACCTGCTGTTTTTTTAGAAGGCAAGATCTTTGCTCTTTTCATCACTTTTATACTGACTGATCTGTTCAACTTCTTTCTTTTTGTGCCAAGTTTGGCATAATTTAATGGGAATTTATCTTTTTGAATTTATTAGCCTAGAGATAATCCTGATACTTTTTAATAGTTCTTCATTATTTAAGAAAACTTCTTGTGTCTGTGCTTTTGCCTCCCATTTCATTCTGTATTTTGATTATTTGAATCTTTCTTTTTTTCTTGGTCACCTTTTTTTTTTAAGTTTATTTATTTTGAGAGAGAGCGAGTGCAAGTGGGGGAGGGAGAGAAATGAGAAGCAGGCTTCACGCACTGTCAGTGTGGAGCCTGATGTGGGGCTCAGTCTCACAAACTGAGATCATGGCCTGAGCTGAAATCAAGAGTCTTGCTGCTTAACCAACTGAGTCACTCAGGTTGCCCCTTTCTTGGTAACCCTTGCTTGCCAAAGATCTCTCTTACTCATCTTTTCAAGGAACATGCTTTTTGGTTGTGTTATTTTTCTCTGTTT